TAGGCTGTCATCGCACCAGACTTCAGAGAAATCTCTCAGGGATTGGGCGAGCCTGTTAGAAGTGAGGGAAATGTAGTAGCTTCTCTAGGTTTCAAAAAGAATTGCTCAGTTCACTAATCTTTAAAGAAATTTGGAAGCATAAAGTCATACTTCACTCTCACCTGTCCTGGTTTGCACAAGATGCCATCTGCAGCGAAGATCAGACTCCAAGATTTTAATATATATTTTATATATTGAAATGTTTTAGATTCTAATAAAACCCTTGTGGCTTGATAATTTTTCTGGATAGCTAAATGTGGTAAGTACTGTTACACACAGGATTGTCATCTCAAGATGGTATATGTGTAAAGCAAAGAATTATGATCTCTTTTCAATTCTGGTTTCTTTCTGTCTTTCATTTTCATTTCAGGTAGAGATGATTCAAAAAATATGTTAAATACTCGAAGTCTAGATGCTACAAACCTGAACCAGGTACATCTTTACAAAGAATGCTGATGCTAATTTGATGCTGAACTGTTAAGGGCTTGCTGGCAGTCTTCAGTGACAGCTTTCTGAAATGGGTTTCAAAACCAGCACAAAATGTTCTAGGTGCTTCATAGCCAGCAGGGACTGAAACAGAGTGATACTCAATGTTACACCAGTTCTTTGGCAAGCAGTTGCTGATCCTTAATGGTACTTACGATAAGCTGCAGCCTCATGAAGATGTAAGACGAGGCAGTCAGCTGCCTTTCATGGACAGTGGTTCTTGATGAGTTTTTGCAAGTGCTGTGGAGGTAATTTACTACAAGGATGGTACATCAGTGCCTTTTTGTACTTGCAGAAACCTGACTGAAATTGCAAGATGTTGCCTGGTTGTAGCAGTAGGATAGCTGCTTCTTGCCTCTGTGTAGTAGGTTGTGTTGGGTTTTGATAGGAAAGGGTTAGGGAGCCACTGTCTTGCACAGGGGTTGCACAGTTATGCTGTGAGACCTCAGTAAGAAGCAGGAGCCAGTGCCTCACATGAAGACAAGACACCATGATGAGTCACTTGGGTTCTAGTTTGTTTGCATATAGCACAACAGCTTTTGGCATTGAGAGCTCTACTCTTCCCCCTCTCGTTTTCTCCCCTTTGCAAGATAATAACTGGTAAAATCTGAAACATACAATGTGGCATGCACAGACACTTTGTTCTTGCTTCCTAAAGTTTTCTGTGATTGTGGTAACTGTCCTTGTTACTCGCAGTAGTGCAGTCTATGGTGTCCCTAGAAATGTTATGCTATGGCAGCATCTGTGGTTTACAGTCTTAGGTTACACTTTAAAACATTAGTTGATTGATGAAGGATATTGTCCAAGTAGAAGTTGTTGTAAGCATTTAATTGGGAAAACCTATTACTGTGGCTGTGTAACTGATGGTCTCAGTAGTTGTCTGAGTTGTTGCAGTGTTTGTGTTCTCGATCTATCTCCAGATACGAAGTAATCAACAGGATAATTCTAGTTAGTTGTCGGCCTTTGTAGCAGTTTTGTGATGAGATTGCCATGAGTTAATTCTGTGTGGTTTTGCTGTGTTATTTCCCTTTCTTTATAGTTTCCTAGAACTGTTGCAGGCAAATTTGCCAGAAATGTGTAACTGTAGCTGTGGTACACGACCACAGAAGTAATGTAGCTTTTATTTTTTAAAGGCAGAGCATTAATTCGAAACCGGTTCTATTTTAGAAATAAATAAAACTGTAAAGCGCTTCAGTAAGATTTATCATTGGATTTCATGCATCAGCTTTTACACTTTTATACGGTTATTTCTTAGTTCCTTAATTTCTTTGTCCTGCTGTCTTAAAAAGCTGCACGCGCAGAGGAAATCAGTTAATTATATAATAGCACATTTCTCTCTCTCTCTCTAAATATATATATAATATATATTTATATATATAGATAAAAAGCAATTTATCAGAAAATTATATTACGTATACGGCCTGTTTTGTAGATAGAATTAGATGCAGATGGCACAGTTCAACATGATAATACTAAAGCATCAAGGGAAGTTTTGCTAAAAATGAGCAAACCAGAAAAACAAATTTGGTGAAATATAAAAAAATAAATTTCTGCAGGATTCTGAAGGCAGAAAACCAAATGAAAAAAACCCACAAGATCAAAAAAGACAAATAGATCTGCTATTCTTATAGCAGAGGCTACAGCCAAGAGTAACACTTTTCACAAATAATGTCTCATGTTAGATGGACCTCACGTTTAAGTCCACTTAAAACTAAGCAACAGTTAAATTACAGAAAACGTGTTTCCCTGATGCTGGAACTAAGGAAGTGGGGCACACTGTTGCTGTTTCTAATCATAGTTGTTGCATCACAGTTAATGTTGTAGGAAAACTGAGCTAAGTGAGAGAGAATTGCAACAGAAACATAAATTCAACAGTGAAAATCCATTTGCAGAAGAAAAGGGCAGAACTGGTGGAAGCCTAGCAAATTCTCTTGTAACAGGGGAGGAGATCACCAGTTTGCATTGCCCCACATCAGTGGTGGTTTCTGGAGAAAAAGTGTCTGTGCAGCATTCTCAGACTACTACTTTAAAAGAACTTGATTCTTGGTCAATACTTACTTGCTTTGACTTCCTCTCACAATGTTTTAACGTTACAACAGGAAGTGAAGCGTTATGACAGTTATCAACATAGTCTCAAGCAGAATAACATAGCAGCTTGAGTGACAGGAATCTAAATACCGATACGAGATACCTTCGGAATGAATTAGTTCTTTGCAAAACTTGACAGATCAAGTTAAATCTGATGTTGATGGAAACAAAATTAATAGATCGGTTCTAAGTTTAAAGCTCTCTGCCTTTGTTCGAACAGATTTTCTTACAGACAGATGAGTCAGAACTAGCGTGTGCAGATCTCACGGATTCAGGTAGCACAGACATACTGCAACAGACTATTGTGAATGAAGTGCAAAACATTTGTACTAATATATCTGAAGATGGACCCAGCTGCACTCAACAGACACTTCAGGTCAATGCAGAAACACTGTTAACACATGAGCTTTTAGCAGCTACTAATGGAGAAAGTGTTTCTGCGAGTTCTTATGATTCTACCGGTGGTGTACTAAGCACCATTGAACAAAAGGCTCCACAACCAGAGGAAAGAGGGAGAATCCTGCTTAACACAGAAGAAGGTGTTGAAGGATGTCACATTGAAACTGAAAATGCTCATAGTTTAGAGATTGAGCCTATAGCTTTACAACTCCATGAAAAGGACAGACTTCAGATTAAACAAAAGAGAGAGGATCTTCAGGAGGCGAACTCAAAAGCAGATTTGCCTTTTGGTGTTACTGCAGACAAGTCTCCTTATTCATTTCAAATTGTGGAAAATAAGCAGAAAGAAACCTCCCAGAAAACAGGTGCCATTTTTTGTTTTAAAATAATTATTTTATGAGTTTGTTCTAAGCGTTCTGTCTATGTTATTTAAAAAACCCAGCTGTTGGTCTCCAGAGAATGTATTTTGCCATAAATAAATAGCAGACACATGGGATGTGTTGTGGTAACGTCCACTATGCCAGATTACTAGTTAGTAATTTTTGCTTTATGTTTTGGGGGTTGTTTTTTTATTTACCAAAATGTGACCACAATGGTCATTACAGTAATTAAAATGAAATCCTTAAGGACCTTATTTTTTGTAATACCTCAGAATCAATAAAGGCCATGTTTTCACAAAAGAGTATTTTAATTGTTTTGGATTCAATCTTAGTACATTAATATGTGGTGAATAGTGGATAAAGGTTTTATTATGTTGAAGTATTTTCAAAAATTGAATTACTGCAGGCATTTTTTAACCCAGACTAGGTGGTCATTTTGACTTTCATTTTAATGTCAGTTATGATTTCTGAAATTACTGAGTATTATGCCATAGATACTCTTAAGTTCTTTTGTTAAACCAACAGATGAAAGACTGTTTGCTGGAGTAAGTGGAACAGAAGGCACTGAAAAAAATGGAGAAGAAAGAAAAGCAAAAACCAATGTGCTTTCGCAGTTTACTCAAACAGAAGAAGTCCAAACTAAAAGAGTAAGATTACACCTTCAGGAGACAAGCCAAAAGGCAGCCTCCTATTCCAGTAGCAGCAAAAATGAGCTTTCATTTAATCAGCCACAGTTCAGTCAAGCATCAGAACAGCAAACATCCAAGAAATCAGGTGAAAAGTTAATAATATTTTATAAAAACAGTGGAGTTTTTTTCCAGACATACATGAAGAAGGCTTTTTATAACACATGAGGGAAAGTTTGGAAAAATATGTATAGCGTGTTGAGCCAATACTCTAGTGAGTTCCAAATACTTGAAATATTTCCAGAACTTTTGTACTCTGTTTTACAACATGCACGTACTCTGTTTTATGTTATGCAGGATCATAACCGAGAGCTTAAAAAAAACATTAAATTGTACTTAGTTAACTGTGTTACACAAATGATAGTTTGAAGTAACACTAAATTGGTCCTCAGTTAACTATTTTATGTGTCACAGATACGAGAAGAAAACCTTGCTTTCCATATATTTGGCACACATGCATCCACTTGTATTTTATAGACTGTATCCTCACCAGGCAGAAATCAGCATAGGCTCTGATTGTAATGGTGCATTTGGTTTTAGCTGTGGTACAGAAACAAACCAACTTATATGTGATACAAAATTCAGAGCTTCCAAACCCCTTTGCTTTCTAACACTCCTCACCGAGGTGGGAGCCTAGGTGCGGCTGGGGAAGGATTCAGAGATGAAAACTCAATAACAACAGAGTGTTATTAAGCAGGCATCCTTTATTGCAGCGCTGGGCAGCATTGGGGATGTTCCACCGGTTCATATACACAAAAATCATACATATTCATCAGATTTCCTGAGAAGGGCAGCCTTGTGGTGATGAGTTCCCAGAATTCATTTACATGGTCCAAGCATGCGCAGTAAATTTAGGGTTAGGGTCTTTTCATCTTCCGGTGGTTGCTCATCGTCTTCCTCACGCTAGTTGAATCTTCCTTCTTGAGCACAAGCCAGGGCCCCTTTTCTGATGCAGCCTCCTCTTGTAACAAGCAGCGTGTAGATGTTTGCTGGACATTTCCTTAACGTCTGGCACCTGTAGATAGCTTTGTCTCCTTGGTGTCAGGCAAGATGTTATCTGTTTACCAACTTTGCTCAGCAAATCGCTAAAACCATCCTTATGGGGGAAGAAAAACTCAGGAAAATAAAGATGCAAGCAAAACTAAACAGATCACAGTGAGGCCTAAGCCAGGGATTGTCAGAGTTTAGCTCTTTCATATGAGGATAGAATCTAGTGTCCTCCAGTAGTTGCATTCTCTTCTGCCTGCATGTACAGCTTTCTATTTAGCAGTTTCATCCCATGTCCAAGACTTGCATTAATGTTGTAGCCTTACCGTCAAAATAGAGCCCTGGTCCAACTGATTACTCATTATAACCCTCAAGGATTTTTCCCTTACTGCTTTTTTTGGTAAATCTAGCAGTCATCTTGTGTACATTGGTTCTTTCTGGCACCAGAGAATCGTAGCATTCAAGACTTACTGAAAGCGAAACGTAGTTCAGGTGGAATCCTTCCTCTTTTAAAACTTTTAAATGTAATATATCTGGACCACTGATACAAAAATATTTATCCTTGTATCATCTGTCATTCTCCTTAATTTATATTGAAATGAAAAGAACTGTGTCATTAGCTTCTTGTGTAGCTTTGCCTTGATATGGAATAGAGCATTTGTCTTTTCTGATTATCTTAGATAATTCTGACACTTCTCTCTAGTAATTAGGAGTCTGGGAATTATTTTTTCTGGTTTTGATAGATTTTGAAAACCACCTTCTTAGGACCTTAACTGTCTGTGACTATGTCTTTGTGTTCTTTTGTTTTCCACAGCACTTTTCTACAACTCCTTATTTATGTTTGCTACCATTCACTTCTCATTTTTTCACTTCTCATTTACTGTTGCTCTCTAATTCCCTTCCTAAGCCAGGTTACTTTTTGAATTGGTGCAGCTTTTCATCTTGAGTGTGTGATACGTTGTGAAATACTTCTAGCTATTATTCATGTTTTTCTGCTGACATTTTTTCTTCAGACTGTGTCTTATTTATAGTTGTTTCCAGCTCTGTGAAACTTTCCCTTTCAAATAACTGCTGTGTCAGTATAAATGTGTCCTTTGTATATAAATGCATAGGAAAAGGTGTTTTTTGTATGTATAGTTTTATAAAAGTGAATGTGAATGCATGTGGATTTATGTGTGGATATAACGTTTGATTTATTTTTTCAAAGTGTGTGCAGCAAAAAAATTTAATTTCTTGATCTGCAGTTATATGTTTCTGGGGTCTGTTGGTAAAACTTTGATTGCCTTTGTGTGGGATGTAAATGAATGCTAGCATTAATTATATCATACGTACTTCAAAATTCGGTGGGATTCATGCTCATACATCCATTAAATGCTTTTAATGCCAGTGTATGTAACAATGTATATACTTAATACGTATAACAAATATACACGCCCATTCATACACGCCCACAAAATATGGACAAATACATCTGCATACAGGTGATCAACATACTCATTTACCTCTTTTTGTTGTTTGCTTAGTACCCTTCTTCTCTTTGTCGACTTTCTCTGGATGCTTACTAGTCTTATAAGTTGAATTAAGGAGTCATCACCCAATTTCCACGATGTCCTGTAATGCATGACAAAAAACATTCAGGAAACTGTGTGAAGTTCCTGCTAATCCTTTTCTCTTTGATAGTCACAGTCTTCTTATCCTCTTCTGCTTTCAGCTGTACAGAATAATCTTTCCCTGTCCCATCTCAGATAGTTGCTAGTTTTCAACCCATCTTAAATTGTTGAGTTTCTGGACTGCAAGCTCATGTTTTGTTTTGGAAGTTGAAGGGAGAGGGAAAGGAGTAGGTACTTCTTGTTACTTACTGCTCTCCACTCTTTGGCAGTGTCAGTACTTAGCTTTCCTGTCTCCAGATTGGTTCCTCCTGTTGTAGGAACGCTTTTTTACTTCGTTCTGGAAAAAAATCCATGGCGTATCTGATATATGGCATCATCCACTGCTAATTATTGGAAGAATAAACATTGAATGTGAAAAGGCTTCCTTTCCCTGCAGTTATTCTTTTTTGTAGCACCTGTATTCCTGCTCAATCTTTATAATAAAACCTTTGTGCCTTAATGTACTTTTTTATTTTTTTCTCTATATTTTTTGCCTTCTAGTATACAGTTATGATTTTAAAAAAGCTTTATCTCAAATATGTGTCTTACATTTTGGTCTCCTCTGAAATAGCTTTTCACACCTTACTCTTTACCCAAAAAGAGATTCCTCAGGTAATATTTTATTCAGCTAAAATTTAATTATTTTGTTCATCCCAGGAAAATATTGCTGTTTGAGAGGTGATGTGGGAAAGTATAACCCTTCGTATAGTTGAAGGCATTAATTGCTTTGGAGACTGGGACAATGGCATTGAGATTGTAGCAGAAAAAAAGTGGAAGATAGGATAATGTTTTCTGACTTGTGGGGTTTTCAGATTTTTTACTGTCTCATGCCTTTTCTTCATTAACTGGCTTTTGTATCTCATCTGATCATTCCTGTGTCCCAGTGGTCTTCCTTATATTATTCTATTCTTGAATAAAAGTCTTCTCTTCCTAAATGATGCAGTGCCACTCTCATCTTCAGTCGGTCACTTACTAGGCTCTCAACTTTCCTATTCTGTGTATACAGAAGGGAGGTGCAAACAGCTTGCTGCTTTTCTTACAGTTCAGTCTGTGGAAAGAGTTACTCATAGACCAGTGTTGAAGTATTTAAATGTCTTTTTGAAGGAGGCTATCCTTGAAGTTGTTGAGCTATGGCAACCTAATCTAGTCTGATTGCTGGTTACTGTAATCTCTCCATCTTATCTTTGTACGTGTGCTGACTGGATTTTGGGTTTGCCAAGTTCCTGATCTTTCCTGCTTATGACCCACCTGGTGATGCATTCCACAGCGAACCGGTATTTTGTGATTCACATACCAATGTCCCATTATGCTTTTGCAAATGTTTCTTAACAACCATGAAGAAAACTTTGGTGCATGATAACTTAACTGGAAAACTTTCCAATTATTTCTGTTCGCTTGCAGCCAGTATCGCTAAGGGTCACTAGGTTAATGGGCTGTTGTGTGCCTTTTTTTCCTCCTGTGTTTCTAAAGAGTCCCTAGGACATTCTGCCATGAATCAAAGGGGAAGAAAAGGAAGAACCAGAGAGAAGATGATTGCTTTGGGAGTTCAGACCCAGAAGCTTTTAGACAAAACACAGAACATTGTCTTACAGAAAAGTAGGTTTTAGACTGGAGGACTATTTCAGTAACATGACGCTTCTGTGTGCTCTAGAATCTCAGGTTTTATTTAAAAAAGAAAGTTTTAGCTCTTTTGATTGCCAGTATATTGTGGGCCAATCACCCCTAATGCAAAGAGGACTGCCTGAATGCTTTATGACAGGTTAGAATAGCCTACAGTGGGCTCCGTGCTGCCATAGTCTGGCTGCAGCAGTGCCTGAACAAGCTAGTTTAAAATTAATAGGGATATATCCTCACTATATATCTGTCTTTAATGTAGTTGCAGTATGTCTTTCATGTTCTTCCAAACAGTCTTGGATGACAAGCTCAGTAGTTTACTTTTAAGGAAACCTTGGAAAAGCAGATTTCCCAGAAGGCAGGAGGAGCCTGAAGAACAGCAGCTGTCAAGTCATGGAAGATGTTTGATAGAAGTGGATACTGATAACTGAAAATATTTGAGAAGACAGTTTGCCTGATGAGAGGAGGAAGTGTTTGGGATGTAGCAACTAATTGTTCATAGGAATAGTTAAAAAAAACCATGGATAAGAGTTGCAAAATGCTTATTCAAAACCTTATACTTTCCTTTTTTTGGACAAATTACAGATTTTCAAGAAATCAGAGAAAGGACACAGTAAACTTTAAAAAAATCTGGTAGCATGGTATTGTAACAGCAGGAACAAGAGTTTAAAAAAAAGCCAACACGCATGGTAGAGCTTTTGAAGATTTATACATCCTGTCTTTTTGGTATCAGTTTGGGGGAGGGGGTTGTCCTTACTCTATATGCAGACTCAGTACTTCTTTATTACATTTTTGCTTTGTGTCTTTGGCGATTTGGTATGTCTGTTACCTGAAGCCTCAGAATTAGGACCTGTCTGATGATCACATGATAAAATTTAAAATGGATGTTGTTTGCTTTGTGAACCAATAAGAGAAGGATTGAATCAAGTTTGTTTACAATTATGGGTCCAATCCTGCACAGGTTTAATTAAAAGGCAGTTCAGCTATGTCACGAGACATTAATCAAAGATTTGTAATCAGTCTACAGGACTTTTTCACATCACAGCTGTAAAAATACCTTATGTAGAAGCCTATCTCTTCTCTGATACAGAATTAGGAACGGAAAATAGATTATTCACTTTTATATAGTTTCTTAAATATCTCTAGGTGCATACTTTATATATTTAGCAGGTATGCCTGGTAACTTCAAAGCAGTCCATGGAGAAATGTACCATACTCTCTACCTCTATACAATATAAAACTTCAACCTTCTTGCCTTTTTTGTTGATCCCTAATTCGTTGTACCATTGTTAAGTCATCTAAATTTGAACTGTAAATTCTTTGCATAGGCTCTGTTTGTTATCTGAGCTGTTATGCAGTACCTTCTAACCTTTTGATGTAGTCAATTAATGTTATTGAATAATTACAGCAACAGTGTTGCACACATTTGCATTAATTCAAATGAGTTAAGGAAGCTTAATTCTTTGTTTATAATGAAACATTTTTTATGGTTCCTAATGAACAACCAATATGCATTTAGAATCCTCCCTGTCTACCAGAAAAGAAGCTGTAATTTTACGTGGGGCCTGTAATACAACAGCTGGGAGAAAGGCGAAAAAGAAGAGAAATGCAAAAGGAGAAACGCAGCTGCATATTGCAGCTAGGAGAGGAGATTTGTCTTTGGTGAAAACTCTAATATCATCTGGAATTTGTGTCAATGAACAGGACTATGCAGGTTTGAAAGTTACTCTTTTATGGACTTGTATTATGATACAGTTCTATACAATTTATAGTATATATGGTTATATATAATTTGTGTAATTTTAATATAATTGTGCATTCTGGATTTATGATATAATTGTGAGGAGGAAAGGAAGTCATTCAACAAGTGCAAGCACAACCACTGAATCCATGGATTTTGTGTCTCAGCATGGAGCTAATGCAGCGTTTTCCTCAGCAGGTTCATTAATCGGGTCTTACTCTGCTGAAGAGCACATTTTCAGAGATATGTACAGAACATGGGCTTGAAAGTTCTAGCAGGAGAACTAATGCTTGCACACGTGAATATGTACATGTGTGAAGCACATTCACACAAATCTTATTTCCTTAGTAAATAACGACAAAAATCAGATGACAAGATTATTTTTTCTTTTTTCTACCTAAATGTGTAACACATTTCTGGTTTTATAGTCTTAGAATGGATGGTATTCTATTCTGGATGCCTGGCAGACTTGATATTTTAAAATGCCACTGGGATTAGAAATCAGACTGTATTAATGTTATGCTTCTGAGTTTTTAGAGTATTTCTGCTCTATTGTTTTCTTTTCTTATTTTTAGTAGTGTAGTAGAAAAATAACAGTGTTTTTCTGCTTAAAATTGGATACATTTTTCTCTAAGTAAACTGAATTACACTGGAAATAATTTACCGTGGCATTTCAAGATGATTGTTTGTTTATCTTAAAGAGAGTAGTGTGTTGCTTATAGTACAGCAAAAGCAGCAAAATGTATAGTTGCTCATGAGTGATCTGCGTGGATCTTTCCAAATCAGATGCATGCTGTATGTGTCTTCTTGCTTTTAATAGGTTGGACTGCAATTCATGAGGCTTCGGCTGGGGGATTTACTGAAGTGATCTTAGAATTACTGAAAGCCGGTGCTAATGTTAACAGCAGAGGTCTGGGTGGTATTTTGCCGATACATGATGCTGTTGCTGGCAATTATTTAGAGGTACGTTTTTCTTTTAGATTAGATTTCCTGAGCCTGATTTCCAGCAGAGGGTCAGCAAAGCAAAATCCTGGTTTAAATAAGGGAAGTCAAAGTTACTAATACAATTTTAAGTGTAGATTTGCGTTTAGGAAATAGAACAATATTCTCTAAAGTGAACAAAATTAGAGAAAGAAATACTTTTCATTAGTGACAATTGAAATTGTACAGCTAGTTGACTGTTTCAGTCTAGCGGACAAATCAGAAAAATTCAGAAGCTCACCGTGGTTCTCTCCCACATACTGGGCTTTTTGAAAATAATGCTGAAATGGAGCATTCTGACTTTAATCATCTAGTCCAACTCCCTTGCCATGGGCAGGGCTATCTTTCACTAATGAGCTTGCCCAAAGCGCTATCAAACTTGACTTTGAACCCTTCCAGTGATGGGGTATCCACAACTTCTCTGAGCAACCAGTTCCACTGTCTCACTACCATTATTGTAAAAAAAATATTTTTTATAAAGGAAGAAACCCTAAGCCTGCTGTTTAAATCAGCCATTTTTTTGTCAATAGCTGGTCTGTTCCAACCCAAACCATTCTATGGTTCTATAGAATAGAATAAACTATTACAGTTGGAGGGGACCTACAACAATCATCTAGTCCAACTGCCTGACCACTTCAGGCTGACCAAAAGTTACAGCATGTTGTTAAGGGCTTGGCCCAAATGCCTCTTAAGCACTGATGGGCTTGTGCCATCGACCACCTCTCTAGGAAGCCCATTCCAGTGTTTGACCACCCTCTTGGTAAACAAATGCTTCCTAATGTCCAGTCTGAACTTCCCTGGGTTCAGCTTTGAATCATTCCCACGTGTCCTATGACTGCATCCCAGGGAGAAGAGATCAGAAGCTCCCTCTCCACATTCCTTCCTCAGAGAGCTGCAGAGAGCATCAAGGTTGCCCCTCAGCCTCCTTTTCTCCAAACCCAGAGTCCTCAGCCGCTCCTCACAGGACATGCCTTCTAGCCCTTCCACCAGCTTTGTTGCCCTCCTCTGGATGCAGTCAAGGACCTTAACATCCTTCTTAAATTGTGGGGCCCAGAGCTGCAGACAAATAAAAAAAGTTGGTTTGGCACAGTGAGTTCCAGGGAACTGAGCATAAAAAGGTGATGCCAGATTGTCTCAAACATACCACTTCTATTCCTGTCAGAAGAGCTGATATCTCATCACATTTATGTTTTCTGTGAGCAAAGATAAAATGAAGGGGATGATTTCACAGGCCTGGTACCAAACTATCAGTAGGGTTCTTGAAAATATATAAGCTATTTTTCAGTTTTGTGGGGGAAAACCAATGGTGAAGATTCTGAACTTCTGGAGAGTATTCTCTTTCTGATACTTTCTGGTACTAACAGCACTCTGAATGTAAGAAAGAAGAAGAAATGCTAAAGATGAGAAATCATACATATGAAAATTCTTTAACATCCAAGCTCTCACCTCATCAGCACTTCCATATGATCTGAATTTTAGGGGGTGGATGATTCCTCTGATGCCACTAATCTCATTTCCATATTTTACAATTAAATTAACTTGCAAGTGATTTGGAATTAGGAAAAAAATCGTCAGTGCATATAATAAAAAGACGAAAACCACTATTAAATACTTAAAGAAAAAAGGCCACTTTTATGCCTTTGTTTGTAATAAAATTGACTAATTCCTTTTAATTTAGATACATGAAGCTTTGTAATTGGTTTCTGTAACAATAGCATAAAGATGGTAAAATTAATGACAAGTTGTGAATTATTTGTGTATTTTAATAGAAAAATTAGAACTGTAAGATACACATATGTGTTGATAATAACCAATTAAACTTGTTAGTTTAATTGGGATTGCAATGACAGGTTTTAGAGTATCTTATTTGTACCTTTATTTGTAATTTATGATAGATACAACACTTGTAGTTATAAAAGTCCACAACAAGAATTATCACAATACAAATAATATACAATAGGCAGCCAGGATTCTACTACAGCATGGAGCGAACCCCTGTGAGAGGGATGATTCAGGGAAGAGTGCTGTGGATAAAGCTTGTGATGATGAAATGAAAGAACTGCTGAAGTCTTACAGTGCCATGGACTCTGTACTTCCTGTTGAGACTAGTGCGGTTACAGGTATGTTGGTTTTGTAATGTGAATCATGGGATTAGACTGTAAGGAAAAGCTATATGTTAGAGTGCTGCTGATATGCAGAGCTGCATATTGCCTGGCACTGATATTTTAACTCTATTAACCATTGAATTTCATGTATTTATTTACAGAAAATAGGATGCATGAGTTTTGGGAATGAGGTATAAGAACATATTTGGCTCTTGAGATTTTTGTTATTATCCATATTTCCCTTCACAGAAGTCTTGTGTTTTTGAAAATGGTAGCTTTAAAGACTTAGTTCCTTATGCTACCTGAATTTGATCTAATTTGCATATACAAGATATTTTTTTATTGTGTGATCTGCCATTGCATCTTTGTAACCTTTGTTAGCTAATCTATGCTCCTGCAAATTCATTTTAAATTCTGGTAATTTTTTCTTAATTGTGGAGAGAGGAAATATCCCTCTGGGTCAAGAAGATCAAAACATCATTTTTGCGACTGCTTTAAGAATGATGATGCAGCTTTGGAGCCACAACATGAGCAATACAGCATGGTAAGTATAGATAGAGTTTTGTTAAACTGCTTCATAGTGTAGTACTGCATAGTGTCATTTAGTGACTGAATAACATCAAAGTATCATTTAAATAATTAACCCTTTAGAATATGTGTAGAAAACAGCATCATGCAGAGACTTAGAGTATATAACCTGTCGTTTACAGTGTGTAACTGTATGTATTATCACGTCTCTGTGTTCATGATTCTTGTGTGCTTACATTTATTGTGCAAAGAGTAGTACATCCTTATATAAATTTCTTATTGCCTATATGAATAGAAAAAGGTCAGAAATCCTGAGGCTTTTCATCACATTTCTAAAATGGCTCTTTGAAAGAGTAATGATTTTTCTTCATGATCATGACAGTATTTAGAAATTGTTTAATCTTAATTTAGCCAGGAAGACTTTTGCACAAGTTGTATGTTAGGCGACCTCTTGCTGGTATCTGTAGGCTTTGTCTACATTGTCTATGTGATGCTGTTATGGTGAAATTCACTGTTGAATCTCTGCAGTACACTCAGAGGTGGGACTCTGAGCATAGTTTGAGTGCCTGGGCAAAACCAGGCTGTGACAGCCTCTTGCAGAGCATACCTTTAGGCACCATGTATATCGATCTTACCAGTGCCCCTGTTGCCTTTACACAGTAATTCGATGCCTGGAATGACTTGAGTCCACCCATACTTATCCTGCAGGCCATGCACCGTGGCCTGTGTTTTGTATGGTGCACTTGGCTCTACTTCTTTCTGTGTTTGTCAACAGGAGTCTGTGGCTGCTATACAAGATGCAGAAAATAAGCAAAAAGAACTGTTGCTATTTGAATTGAGAACTTCCAAAGATGCAGGTAGACATAAATCAAAGTTGTTTCACTATTTTTTTTTAAATATCTTTGGTAATATAATTGTTTTTAAAAGTGTTGTACGTAATATATTTGAATATCTCCTCTGGAAAATACAGCTTCAGAGAATAAGATTTTAATAACAGCTCCCAGGTAAGTACACTTCCTGAAGTACTTCCAGTTTACACAGGAATGAATGTGATGACAAAAGATGGAAGCATACTGCTTGGAGGCATGTGTTTCAAGTCAACCTAATCATATAAAAAGGGATCATTAGATAAGAATGCAAACTGTTGGTCACATTATTCAGTTACAAGTACATGAGCCTGTCCATGATCAAGAACAGCTATGTCTATATGTAAAGTAACAGGTAAAGTAACAGATGCAGCATTTTCGTTCTAGTGCAGCTGGACTTTCAGGAGCCTAAAATCATTTATTAGGGAAAAAAGAGAAATCTTTAAGGCAGACACTGTGGATGATGGGCAGTTTCAGTAATGCTGGTGCCCAGAGGTGTAATTTGTCTTAGGCTGTCAAATCTCAGTTCAGATTAATCTCAAGAGCCTGCTAAATGACACTCACTTCCTAGGAGATCATGATGCTGGTGCTGTGTAGCAGTTTGAGTCTATTGTGAGTGTGCCGTGACTTTTCAAGTGGCAAAGCTTGCTGCAGGAAT